GAATCCTTACATCTATGATCAATTACAATACAGAGTTAGTTATTTCATCAACTAGAAATTCTTCTTATAGTTGTTTTAGTTTCTACTTTGCAGCCAAGAGTTTGTTTAATATTATTTTGCTCATTGTTTATTTTATATTTTGTGTATTGGATTTTACAAAACCTCTTTTGTTTGCTTTTTATCCGTTGGTCAATGAAGAAAATTAAATTCTCTGTGGATTTAACCCTTCTTACCACTACTACAATACTGTTTTATTGGTTAATTAGGAATTTATTTTTGAAGGATTCAACATCCATCAAGGGACACAAATGAGTAATTCAGAAGCTTTAAATGCTCAAGAGAAATCGGTTAGACAGTTTAGTTTGGACATGTAGAGTTAAACAGCCTTTAAGGGTGAACCCATGAGGTTTTCTAGAAGAAATCTGACACTAGAGGTTTGATGATCAGTTCTAAATAACTCCTTACATTCCCTTAAATTGTTTACTTAAATAAAACTAAAAAAATAGAGCTTTTTAAACTGAGGAAGCCATGGAGACAAGGCGAACTTAGTGGTCTCTAAATGAGGTTTATCTGATTTGGTTTAGGTAATAAAAGAAGGTGGTTCTGTATATTGAAGTATGATGGACTGGTATGTAAACAGGCCTGCATCAAAGATGGAAATATAGTCCAAACAATCTAGCATTGAGGTATAACAGAATATAGAAAGGGAGTCAGCTTACCTTGTAGAAGAGGCTTTCTGAATGCTCTATTTTCTAGTCCTAACACCCTCCTAGCTTCTCAGTCGTTCTTCGCTCACTCTCAGTCTCTCCTGAAGCTCTCCTCACTCTTAGCTCTCTTTTAAATTTTCTCTCGGGGTCTTTCCCTCTCTCGCGCATGAATTAAAGAGGAAATAAATCAAATTAAAGGAAAAAATTATATCTTTTGTAATTAATTATAATTAATTGTCTATTTTTTTATCATAAAAAACCTGTATATTTAGGACTGTAATATTTAATAGACTGCACATCAATAAAAAAATTCATTTTTTAGTAGTTCTCATTATCCACTAAATTGTATATTGATTGTTTTGCAATATATTTTGCCTCTATGTTATTTTAGCTGCAAAATTTGTTCGATATATGTATATATAATATTATATTAAGAAACTAAAGATATATTGTTCTAGTTATTAGTAATACTTCAAATTACCACTAATTTTTTAAAATGGCTACATGAATCGATGAATCAAAAAGTAATTAAATCAATGTTATATTCATGCATATATATATTAAATTAATTTTATTATTAATTTAGATGCATGAATTGATTGTTTATATATATATATTAGAATATAATATGTTCTTGCTCACATACCATTTGAAATTATTTCAATTAGTTCAATATATATGTATATGTTTTAAACTATGATATCTATTAATGTGGAACCTAGGATCAACAATACAATCCTAACTCATACAAACATAATTAACACATAAACTTGATCTCTAAATAAACTCTTCCTACTTAACTCACAATTAATCTATAATTAAATTAAGGTAATGTGAAAAATATGTGTTATAAAACATCTCAAGAGTTATATTAATTAGAAGAACTAAATTTTCACTCAATAAGAAGGTTGAAGAAAACCTCACAAGTTGACAAGCAAGTCATTGGCTATGAAGCTAGAAAGCTTTGTATTTGATTGATGAAATTTAAATGATTACAACCAATGTATGAGACCTATTTATGGGTGTAGGTAGAGAGAATTACAATAGAAATTGAACTCCTAAACGATTTCTAATACTTATTTAGGAATCTTAAAAAAATTATAAATTACATATAAATAAAATAAAGACTATTTAGTGGAGATATGGCACGCATGAGGAGATCTCTTGCTTTAAAGAAGATCTCTCAATTATATAAGAAAACAAGGACTTTTTTCGTTGATGATATTTGATCATGCTTACATAAGAGGAGATCCCTTACTTTCTTAGGGATTTGAAGTGAATCCATCAATGATTTGTGGAGTAAGTTTCTTTAATTTCTTTACATGTTTAATATGCTTCTTTAGAAAAAAAAGATCTCGGCTAAGAAACTTATAAAAAGATATGATCAGATTCTCCTTCGTTTGATTTTTGGGAACCCATGATTTTGTGGATTCTTGCTATTTTGAGATGAGATAAAAAGGAAGAAAATTTCTCTTGTGAGAAAAAACTTCTCACAAGTGGAAAAAACCTCCTCTTTTAGGAAATCTAAGTTGTCTAAAAGCTTTAAGACATTTTTTGGCTCGTTTAGGATGAGTTGTTCATTGATGAAACTCATGTGGATAAATGAGAACAGCTTCCCATCATTATAGTAGACTCAATATATGTCATATATCTTTTAATGTTAAAGTACAAGCTAATTTAGTATGTACACGAATTGAATCGATACTCACTATATTTACATGTTGGGTACTACTAATCTTCAGTCTATCAATTTTTCCTAGGTTATACTAGGAAAATATTACTCTTAGATGTATTATGATAACATGTCACTTAATTAATGATTTGCTCAAGATAAGAATATGTGATAGTATTATAATGATTCTCATAAAAGGTAAACCCTACTAGTTCTTCACATTCTTTAAATGGTAGCTGCTATATTATCATCATTTACATTTTTTCAGTCTTCTAATCATTTTTTTCTCTCTTAAATAACTTATAGTTTCTCTTAAATATGACATTCTTTATTACAATGATAACATTTGAATTTCTCTTTTAATTAAGAATTTCCTATGGTTTACTATATCCCTGAAGATCTTTATTCTTGCTCCTACTCATGTTTTTTGTGAGAAGAGCCTATGAACAATCTAACCAACATCCCTGCATCTTGTCTCTTCATTTTCTATGTTATCTTTTGCTATCTGTAAAGTGACAACTTTATTGAGAGTAGAATTGCTAATAAACACTACCAATATTTTTTAACTGTCTAATTAATAACTCAACAAAAATAAGCCTGCAGTTCATCATTGAATTCTATCATCATGATACCTAATTGATTCAATGAATCCTAAAATTTACTCAAATATTTTACTATGAATCGTCCTTCTTTAAATTTTAAGTTTACAAACTTGTTGATTATAGAGGCTTTGTTATGTGCATTTTTACCTTTGTATGTATTTCCTAACTTTTTTCATAATACCTTAGCATTAAGTTTACCGCTAATGTGAGATTACATACAAAAATTTTTAAATTTAAAAGAATACTAATTAGGGCTTTAAGTTAGTAGAAATGATGAGGCAGTACTCCCCATGATTCTGATCCAGAGTATGCTCCTATCCACTGATTAAAGCAATGACTATTAGAAACGAAATAATCCTTTATTATTTTAGCCTACCAACTTTTTCACTTTTTCTTAGAAAGAAGAATAGGAATGAAAAAAAAAAAAGATCTTTTTTATTTTAGTCTTTCTTTCATATATTTCGAGAAATCAAATTTGTGTCATAAATCATGAACTAATAGAATGTCTAATTCTTCTTTGCAATCGAAAACGATGAGCTGAAATACTTATTGATATTTCTACAATGAGTATTTTATTGAAGGATTAAGTTACTGTTCAACAAATCAAAATGGAACTTTTTAAGGGATGAGATGAATTCAGAAGCATTTTTTTATTATAGTTATAGCAGACAGAATTCCATTGGTATAATTAGGGGTCTTTCGATAGATTTAGATTTTATTTATTCTACAACCGTATCAAGATAAATAATACTAATCTGGTCCTTAGATTTATTTGTGGCCATCGAGGAGCCGTATGAGGCTAAAACCTCATGCACGGTTTTATAATAACGATGGTAACAGTGATGAGGATAAAAATTGCATTCGATTTATTGCCTAATAGTTTCCATAGCTTTTTTGTGCAATTTTCTGCAATCATCATCAAAATTTCCATTGTATTTATTTTGTCCTTAATTTTGCAAGATCACATCAATCTTTATAACACAAATAATTCTTAATCATCAATTTTTAAATCGAGTAATTTGTACTCGATAATCATTGACTATGCTGAATTATCGATCTTAATTTACACAATTAATTTTACATCTTAAATAATTGAATTTTGATAATATTTGTTGTACTATAGATAATTTTAGTTGCATGAATTTTATCAAACTTAATTATAAAAAATTTAATAAGTGCAAGATAAAACAAGAACACAAGATCTTATGTAGAAAATCTTTCAATATAGAAAAAAAAAACTATAAAATAAATTTCGAATTAAATTTATTATTAAAAAATTGAGCAGTAGAAATAATTTTAAATTAATAACAGACTTAAACTATACCACAATCGTTATCCAAATTCTCTCTAGCGAACACCATACATCTATGTTTGTAGATAAATATTAGAGAAATAAATTTTTACATATCTTAAATAATAAGTATTCGCTAATTCTTCGTAATATCCAAAGATTTAAAATAAAAGAATCATAACATTTTTCTCCATTTTGTTTACAAATGTAAGCCTCATTCCTTTTGGCTTTTCTTTTCTTTGTTGTTTTTGGTTTTCTATATTTTTAGTTGCTATGCCTCATTGGCCAAAGCCTCTCATATCATAATTTTTCTTTCCTATTTTGGTTCTGAAAGCAGAAATCTATATAAATATGTATTGTATACTCTTGTTCTTTAGGTGAAATTAATGTCAGCTGGACCCCACAACAAAAATTACATATTATAAAAAATATAATAATAATTTTTATTTTGTACTTATTGAAATCTTGTGTTATGATTGAAAAATATTTGAATTTTTGGTAAAAAAAATTAAAAAAATAATATAATTATTAAATTTAAATTGTAATTAAGTTCATAAATTTAGTTATAAAATAAGAAAATTAAAAATAATAATTTATTGTATAATAAATAATTAAATTACGTACCGGTGTGATAAACAAACCGTTTTTTAATTTTTTATTTTTTATTTTTTCAAATTTTGAAGAGCCATTGTAACTAAATCATTCGGCACACTCTATTTATTCGTTGCACGTAACCCTTGAGAGGAGAACAAGAAAAAAAAAGAGGAAGACAAATCAGAGAAAATTTGTCCCTCTCATACCTTTCTCCCTCTCAACAAGTACCAAATCAGACATCCTTCCATAATACCTAGACCCTAAAACCTCCAATTTATATATAAACCATCATCATCGTCCGCCCAATTTCTTAATTTCGATCCTGTAAATGCTCCCAATCTGTTCTTTGCCCTAATTACCGATTCTTTGTTGGGAGGTGCTGAAGATGGACGTCGAGCAGAAACAAGAGGAGCTAATCGATCACTTTGTCAAACAAGCTTCAGCTCACAAGGGCTCCGCTCTCGGAACCGTCGTCGTTGAAGCCACATCGCATCCCTCCCTTTTTGCATTCTCTGAGATTCTCTCTGTACCAAATATCGTCGAGGTTTGTTCTAAGTCCATTCTTCTTTTTCTTTTTTCTGTTCAACTCTATGTTTTGTGTATTGCGCGCGAAAAGATACTGCCGTTTTATTCTGTTACATTTAATAAATGAACATGAATTGGAAATGTGATTTTCGGTCGTGTTTAGGGAAGTGCTAGTTCGGCTGCAAGTTAGTCTCGTGAAATGAACTTTGAGCCTTATTTCTGTTGTCTCAATTAGTGTTTGTCTTTCGATTTTTGAAGAGTTTGTTCTGTATTAACTAACTTTACTTCATGTTTGATTACTGATAAAATCAAATTGAAGAACATTAAGGCTTGATAATTTGTACTTTTAACTACTAATTGATGCTCTGTCCAGTCAATCGTAAGCGTTGGATATGTTGTGAATTGCATAGGTAACTTGGGGTTCCTTTTGTTTTTTTCTACTTTATAATGTTGGTTTTATGGGATTTAGCTAACGGATGTTTTTCTTTCTGGCCTGTCTGGGATCCTGTGCTTATCAGTGGTGGAGCATCATTGACACTGTTTGAGTATTTTTCTTTTTAACCTGTACTTCATATTTGTCACTTCTGGTTGTGTTATAAGTTGAACTTCTGAGGTTTTTTGGTGATTTGAACTTTCATGGCTGGTTAATTGATACTTTTTTTGCAATTTTCCATTGGGTTTATCGAATCGCTGATAAACTCTTGCAGCTTGAAGGGACTGAAAATTCCATTTTCTTAGATGTGCTTCAGTTGTTTGCCCATGGCACATGGAGTGATTACAAGAGTAAGCACACAAGCCTTGTTTCTTTCAGGATCAATATTTACCTTTAATCCACTTTATTCTAATGTTTCAATTTCCAAGGAACCTACAATGAGTTTAATTGTCTTCTTAGTCACCTTGATTTTGTAGTTAAGATTGTTACTTGTTTTTTTAAAGGCAAAGATGATCCTTTGTCTGTGAATGTTGTTTATGTTATGTGGTTAATTTTGTATTTAATTTGTAGCTCTGTATCCTGCATGTATGTCTATGTCTGTTTCTTTTCCTGCTTTTGCATGGAATAGGAGGGAGCTTTGATTACTGCAGTTATTTGATTTCATAGGCAATATTAGTCGGTTTCCTCCACTGGTTCCTGATCAGGTTCTGAAGCTAAAACAACTTACCGTCCTTACATTAGCTGAGACAAACAAGGTAAGTTTCTTGAAAATCTGAATTCTTTCCTCATTTATTTTCTTGCTTGGTATATGCTGATATTCTACGCTTCTTGTGTGATGGTGATCATTTTCAATTTTTAAGTGTGGGATCTTCCACTTAGTGTCACAATTGTATATTATATATATATATATATATTGAACGGGAGAGGTTGGCTCCTACTCTTTTTCCCAATTCTGTCACTTGGTTGTTAAATGAGAATGTACTTGACTTAACATGATTGTTAAGTTTCTGTTTCCTTGCATTCAACATATTTTTCATGGTTTTTTCATGGTCATGAGTTATGAAGTTTTGTGCTCTTACTAAAACCTCACATGAGTGAACTCAAAATTTGGTTCCAGGTACTGCCCTATGATCAACTAATGCAGGAGTTAGATGTTACAAATGTACGTGAACTTGAGGATTTCCTTATTAATGAATGCATGTACTCGGTAGGTATTCATGATGTTGGATCCTATATTCCTATGCAATCCATTTCACTTGCACCCTGTAAAGATTACACACATGCTACTAGTGAAATGAACATTCTTACAATTGGCTGTTAACTGAAGGAATTGTCTTTAGAGCTCTGAATTTGCAAAACTTATTCCATATTGTGCTTTTTGTAGAGTTTTTGGTTGTTCAACCATAAATAACTGTTTTCTTGCTTATATGTAGGTTTTTTCTGGACAAATTAGGGATTAATTTGCTTAGTTAAGGATTTGGGGGAAACCTAGATATTTTATATAGGGTTTCTTAGGTATAGTACCTGAGAATTTAAGCTATAAATAAAGTCCTGAAGCTACTAAAGACCTAATGTTAACCATACTATTACATTGAATAGTAGATTAGGTAGAAACACAATTGCTAGTCTATTCAGAAATTCTATCCATTCTATATATTAAACCTCAACCAAGGTATCATGTGAATGAGAAATGGAATTTGATTGATTTTCTTTGTGAAACACTAGTGTTTATAGGGATTCTTGAGAAAATGGAGTTGCAAATAAGAACTGCATATGTACGGAAAAAAGAATATTCAGGGATGATGCTGATTGTTGTATTTTTTTTTCTTTTCAGGGTATAGTTAGAGGAAAGCTGGATCAGTTGAGAAGATGCTTTGAGGTATTGGTTAACTTTTTTCCACCTGCTTCAAGTTATTGGTTCTCCTTTTTTATCATTTAGATGTTTTGATGTTCTTGATTTACCTGATCTCATATCTTCTATGAAGTGCAGGTTCAATTTGCAGCTGGGAGGGATCTAAGGCCAGGACAACTTGGGAGTATGATACAAACACTATCAAACTGGTAACACTCTGACTACCTGCTTTCCTGTAAGTTAGTTGCCTTGGTCAGATATATCATATTTGATAGTTGTCATTCAAAAGGTTGTTCCTAATGCTATGGCTAGTTATTCTTAAAATCTATTCAATATAGGTAAAGTCACTCTTGGATCTCACTGTAGAAAGACTCTTCCATGACCATTCCAATTTTCAGTTTACTTTGACTACACAAAATAAGTGATTTGAACCTCAGATGGGCCCTAAAACTTTCCCTTTATCCAAGTGATTAAGTCTAGTTTATCCAAGATTATTTGACGCCTGTTGTCAATGAAAATGTAGGTTGTCTACATCAGACAATCTCCTTGTCTCAATCCAGGAGAAGATAAAATGGGCTGACACTATGAGCGAGTTGGACAAGAAACACCGGAAGGATGTCCATGATAAGGTGGATGAAGTAAAGAAGGCCCTCTCTCTAAAGGTCAGTTGAATCCAGTTTTACATTTCAGTCAATATCCTTTTTTATTATTAAAAAAAAAACCACGACCCTCTAGTTGATGTATGGACTCTGGAAATAAATGAGCACAAGTCAGCTCATTGCTGCTATTCCATGTGTATCATATTAGTTGAGAAATGAGTCTTTACTCAATACCGAGGTATGTTGGTCGATGTGTCTTACTTACGTTGTGGCAGAAGTTACACACTGTAAGCAGGCCGACGTTGACTTCCGAGGGCACGAGGAGATCTACTCTGAACCTGGTGGAGTGATGGACTATGAGGAAGACCGAAGCCGACCCAAAAGGTAAAATAGTATGGCTTTTTTCTCCAGATTTTTAATGTATAGTTAGCATTTTTTATTCCTGCAACACATATTACTTGGGTTGAATAACACTGGTATTTTATATGCAAAAATATATGAATGAAGAAAGGAGCAGCCAGCTGTTTGGGGATTGATTGGAGAATACTATTGGGATGGGTCAGTTCACTGATTCAATTGCCTTTATATATTTGACTTATGATCTGGAGAATTGCAGGAGGCGGCATCCAATATCCTGAAGATAGAGATAAGAGTGGAATTCATTGGATGGGTATTTAGGCAAGTTGTCGGATTTTTGTTCCTGGCATTCAAACAACAGATGCTTCCTGATTTGGTGGCAATGATACTTTTGGTAGTGAATATGTCATTCTCATGTCTGTCTGATTTGAGAATCATTATCTTGTCTTGAACCCATTGTTCATTCCATTGAGTTGGTAAGAACATGATGGTGTATCATGGTGCGGCAAAAGATTTTTATGTAGGTAGATACTCAAGATTGTATTTTCTAGCTTTGTGCTTCTTTTGTTTATTGTTGCCGTGGAAGACTAATTTTTGTGATGAAAAGAGCTGCTTATCATATATTACATGTTTCCTGAGATTCAAAGTTTCAATTTTTTGATGAAACCAAATAATAATTTGCTTTTAATGAACCAAGGATGAGATTAAAAGGTCATCTGGTTCCAGGCGTTCTTCTTTACTGTGTTGCTTCCCTGATGTAAGTGGTTGCAAGTTTGGCATCCTGTCAGTTTCATTGGAAAAATTTAGTCTCCCTTTCATGAGGGATTATGCTAGAGTTCACTTTTAAGGGTATTGAAACATTACCTTTTGGGTTCGTTATTTTGTTATTGTAATGATATATATTGTGAATGTCTGACAAACATATATATTTAAATAGTTTACAGTAGTTCACTTTTGCAATATATTTGAGAGTTTTTAGATGAGCAGTGTAGAAGTTTTTTAAAGTAGAGTGGATGGAAGTCAAGTGAGGAAGAATTTTAAAGAAATTTTTTTTTGAGAATTTCCTTTTTTGTTTCTTTGAGATGGGTGTGAGAGTTAATTTTAGTAATTGATATTTAGATCCACTTTTGTTCAAGGGTTGTTATATTGTAGCTTATGGCTATTATAGCTTTGTGGTGTCAATATTTTGCATCCAAGTGGAAAAAAATAAATTTATTGCTGTTGAAAATTACCCACTTTCAAATTTTTTAATTACAAAAATATCGTTGTTGAAGCTATATATATATATATATACGTATCTCCTTCCCAAATTGATTCTAGAAGAATGGCTTCTGTATCTCTCCCAATTTCTTCCTTGAAGCTGTAGGCCAGACTCGTCACCTCCAAACCCAGTTTCTTCCTCATAAAACATGATGCATATGAACCAAGGTAGACGGTTATGAGTATTTAAATCAAAAAGATATTTAAGTTCTCTTGCCTTTCTATTTGTCGTAACTTTTTATAACTATTTGTACTGAAATAGTATAAATTTTTAATTAAAAATATTGTTATTGAAAATTTTTAATAATATTTTGATTAAACCATTAGTTAAATATAATAAAATTAAATTAAATTTTATTAATAAGACAAAGATGGTGATAATAATTAGTATGATAGTTATTTTGTATATAAGATGAAGTACTTACGAAATTTAATTTTTAATTTTTAAATTTGGGTTGTTGAT